TCAGCTGTCTCAGGAGTCCCACGAGCCAACCAGGCTCGAAAGGACTCCTTCAGCTTGATGGCAGCCCTTACTTCCGGTGTCCACCACCGGGTTCGGGGATTGCCACCACGACAGGCACCGGAGACCTTACGGCCACAGCTCCGAACGGCCGCAATGACAATGGAGTTGGAGAATATGGTCCACTTGGACCAACCTCTCCCGGGAACTGGTCAAAGCTCTGCCGGAGGCGGGAATTGAAGATCTCTCTGGCAGGGGATTTTGCTAAACGTTCCCAACAGAACCTCACAATACGTTTGGGTCTGCCGAGTCTGTCCAGCTTCCTCCCCCGCCATCGGATCCAGCTCACCACCAGGTAGTGATCAGTTGACAGCTCCGCCCCTCTCTTCACCCAAGTGTCCAAGACATACGGCCGGAGGTCAGATGAAACAACCACAAAGTCGATCATTGACCTCCGGCCTAGGGTGTCCTGGTGCCATGTGCACTGATGGACACCCTTATGCTTGAACATGGTGTTCATTATGGACAAGCTGTGACTAGCACAGAAGTCCAATAACAAAACACCGCTCGGGTTCAGATCAGGCGGGCTGAAAAAAAAAACACAGCTTGTCTTAATTAGTCAGTTACGTGCTTTGCCATCCTCATGACATGTGCAGACCTCAGCTCCTTCACCATGTGAGGGCCTAAGCCACCACCAACAGTGGAATTAGTGACATAATGTTCTTTTGTTTTCTTTGTTTATGTGTGTAGATTTAAATTTGATTTGACATGAGATTTAGACATACACAATTAATCAATTTGGTTAACTTTGTATTGTCAATACATTGTTAATTACATTGTGTGCAAATTTTCTTTTTGAGTTGCCATGTTCCTCCATGGATGGGGACAGTCGAGACAAAAAGATTGGACTGAGGCAGCAGCAGGTTTAAATACCTCCCACTAGGCCTGGACTGCACCAAGTGCCCAATACAGGAAAGGGGGAGTTTCGAAGAAATGGAGTGTTTGTTTGTTTGTAGTTCATGTTAAAGCTTTATTTGTCAAGTTATGTTCTTTGTTTTTTACATCTAAAGTAAAATATTTAGTTGTTAGTGGATTGTCTGTTCAGTGTTTATTGGTAGATTATTTAGCTAATGCCTTTGTCCATTCCCTGTGTGTGTTACTGGTTTGGCCAGCCAGTATACTGTATATGTTTCCCATGTGTTCAATTTGTTAGGTCAGTTTTTTTTTTTATTTGAGGTACTGTGTCGTTCAGTTTGTTGTATTTAGAGTTTCCTTATTTTTTGTTGACCTCTGAATTTAAAGTTTCTTGAAAAATAAAAACAATGTCTGTTGACAATTACGCCTCAGCTGAATTGTGTTTAGCACTGATAAGTAAATGTTAGCATAACATCCTAGATGGTGAACATGGTAAACATCACCTACTATCAGCATGTTAGCAATGACATAGTATTAGCATGCTGATGTTATCATTAGTTCAAGGCAACCTGTGCCTAAGTATAACATCTTTAGCTGCTGGCTGTAGACTCCTGGTTTTCTTAGAAATATGATGCTTACTGTTTCTGCTGATATGTAAGCACATTTTGCATAATTGTCCTAAAAGGTAGGGGAAAAGTATTCTGACAACCTGCAGGATCATGTCAAGTTCTTGTCAGGTCCGCTCGGCACGACCTGCCTCTCTTCCGCCGTTCTCTCCTCTGCTGTCTCAATCCTGCGGGATCTGCACCTTAGCTGTGTTTTCAGTAATTAGTGACTCGTTTGTCGGTGCGCACAGCTGGGGTGCATCCCGATGATTACCTTCTTCCTTATTTAGAGCTCTGGCAGACGCTCTGTCGTCGCCGGAGCATTAACTTACCTAACATAACAAGCATTAATTTGCATACCCCGTAACTGATCTATAGTCGTGGTATCGTTTGACTTCCACGCTGACAGTTCCTGTGCTGTGGCTCTCAATGTGTACGTAGGTTAAATGTTTTGTGTTATTTGTCTTCAGACGTCCACGCTGACAATTCCTGTGCTGTGGATCCCTTTGTATGTTTTTTTGTCCATCAGGTTAGCTAGACATAAATTTTTGATATCCACGCTGACAGTTCCTCTGCTGTGGATTTCTTTTTCGTTCGCCAGTCCTCCTGGTTCATTTGTTTTTTCACCTGTCCGTCCTCATCCTCACTCTCCTGTTTTTTGCCGTTAGCCTGTCTTCTCCCCTGGTCGTCCTGTTCTCCTTAGCCGTATTTGCTCAGCCCTGGTTGTATGTGCTCCTTGACTCTGTTCCTTTTTGTAATCCCACCAATAAACCACCTGTTTTTTTACTAGCACCTGGGTCAGCACTCCAGAATCCAACCTCGGTTCTCCCTCACCCTCCCTAACAGTTCTGATCTAGAAACATCTCAGAAATGCACCCTATCTAGTTTCTAAATATTTCCTCACTGTAAGATCGCCTGGGTCGTCCATCCTAAAAGATCAGTTAATCCATAACTGGTACCTTTCAGGTTATAGTTTAATCAAAGAGCACACAGAGTGAAAGGGGGTATCCTCTGCATCTGCATTGTTCATCTGCCAGGAATTTGGCCTGCTAATGTAATTTTGTGGCCTCTCTGTCTTTTTTGTTTGCAGACAGCTGTCATCTGAGGATCTGGCCCGAGTCCCGGCGAATTCAACCAGTAACATCTTGAACAGGTTACTGATCAGCTATGATCCCAGAATAAGGCCCAACTTCAAAGGCAAGTCTCTTTTCCTCCTCATCCGTCTGTCTATTTTTAATTAACATTTTTGCTGCTGTGCTGTCATGGTGATTAAAGAACAAGTATACTATGAATATGTACCTCCAGATTTCTCCTCAGAATTTGGTGCTGGAACAAGTAACTGCCTGCTATATACGGGACTTCAGATGTGAATAAAAATGCATTTGTTTTTCTGCACATATTGTTGATGTTGATATTCCTTGATGTCTTTCCTCAAAGACATTTCAATATTGTGCTGACTAACACTCAGTGACTTCAGAGACAATCTGAAGACATGTTACTGTACCATATACAGTGTGAATTTTATGTATGTATGTATATGTTTTTGGCACAGTAAATGACGGCAATTTCATATTCCATTAATCACTTGAGATTCATTTTAAAAACTGGGGTTTTACAGCAACACAAAAGCAAATCATCCACTCCTTCTTTGGATTCTTTATTGTTTACCAAGTATCCATCTTTATAGTGTTTAATGTGTGCTGTAAATATCACACTGTAGGAAGTACCAAGCTTGAGTCTCACAAACAGCCATAAAAATTACAGAGGTGGCCAGCGGCCTCTGCTTCTGACTGATGGTCTAACCAGTCTTCAGGTGGATCCTCAGATAGTTTCCATTCTCTGGCACTTGGCAGCAGGAGCTGTAATCTGGGACTGGGTGTTTGATGTGCTGTGAGCAGAGTCAGCTCCCTCCCTGACTGCCTGGGACTGGTCCAGCAGCCAAACATCTGCTCCTGATTTCAGGGTGGGCTGAAAGCTCCCCATCCATTAACATCCATGTCAAAATCTTCCAAATTACATCCTAAATTACGTCCTGTGCATTTCTTTGCCCAGGCCTATAAAATGTTAAGAGTCTTTATAGACCATATACAGCACAGAATTTTAAAGTGAAACACCACAAGTGTTTCTTGAAGATTGATTAGTCTGTTTTGTCACAATAATGCCTGGGAGGTGTGAGCTATATACCGCCTCTATATTATGTACAGTAAACACTTAATAATTTGTTCAAAGCAGTGTGCACGTCTGCATTCATCAAGGATTTTATTTGTTTATGAAAAATGCTGAATGGAAAGAGATGCTGATGTAAATGTTTACAGGGTTAGCTTAGCAGTGGGACGGGATTCTCTTGTGATGGCTTTTTTTTATCACTTTCAAATGTTGATAAATTTTCTGATCAGTGACAGAATCAATTGAATCACCATGAACAGAATGTGCTGGTGTAGAAATAGAGAGTTATATATATTTTGTGTAAGATACTGACACTTACTATAAGCTACAACCATACTGGTGCCTCACTTTGATTGCACTTGGCTTTCATCTTCTTAAATCCAGGAATTCCTGTGGAAGACCGAGTGAACATTTTTATCAACAGCTTTGGCTCGATTCAAGAAACGACCATGGTAAGACCACTTCAACCCCACTCTAGTGTGACAGCACTGAGAATCAATACGTCCTTTAATAATCAGTGGATTTGAGCTGAAAACTGCTTTATCTTACAAGTTTTAGGAAGAATGCATGCACATGTTTTCTAGGCGGTATCAAACCATTTAGCAGAGGACTGAAGACTTTGATGCTTCATTTAACTGATGGCTTAATTGCTGATAAAGAAATGCAGCTTGAATGCTAATGAACAGGTTAAACACGAGGACCGCACTGAGTCGACTCTTGATCACTTAAGAAACAATAAACTGGAATATTCTTGAAGGTTTTTAATAAGCCTGGTTTACCAGCACGTTTTAGATGTAGAGTGACAGAGCTGACAGTTTGATTTGATTCTGTGTCGTGACCTTCTGTATCCAGTAGTTTTATAGTTTGTATATGGAAAATTTTATTGTAAAAGATTAACCTCAGAAAATAACTGATAGCAGAGTAAAACAAGACATTGTTTTCCATGAATTCAACAGGTACTTACTGCATCAATAAATAGCAACATATTTCATCAAGCCAATTTTATATCAAGAGCAAAGACCACAGTTTAAAATCAAATTTGTCAAATTGTAAAAGCTATCAAACTGGAAATCGAGCACTATTAGGAAATCTTGAACGTTGTGGTGTGGTTTGGTCTGAGGTTTGTCAGATAGAGGAGGACAGAGGAGTGTAAGCTGTGGTGGGAAGAAGACAATGTAGAGGCTTCTCAAAACAATAAAAGGAAGACTAGTGGGTCAGTATTCTCACTGTGTGGCAAGTATGGTGCATTTAAGAGCTTCTGAAAGCTTCCCAACCTACCATTTTTGTGGCTCAGTTTTAATTATGAAATATCCTACCATCCTCAGTCTTTACAAGAACAGCTAAAGTGCTAGAGTTTTGCTGCCAGTGTTTTGTTGCAGGTCTGGACAGAGACTCCATCCAAAGCAGAGATCAGTTTGAAGAGGAGTGACTTTCTGAACAAAGCTTTTGATTATATGTTCTGGTATTGGAGCTGCATGAAATCAAGTATAGATTTTGGCTGTGGATTAGTAGTGCTGTTCACTTATACAATCTTCCAGTGGAGAGATTCACACTAGGACCACTTACAGGCACATTAGGATGATACAGGCTGAAAATATTTAAAATTCAAGGTACAGAAGATGAGTGGTTGGAGAAAGACAAGACAACAAAAGAGATGGTAAACAAAAAGAAGAAACCAATAAATGTTAATGAACAGGGAAGACAGAGCAGGGAGAAGGAGGAGGAGACAGCATGTGGAAAGAAGATGAAGGAAACAACATTTAGAAAAATGAAGGACAGTGATAGAAAGTCAGAAAGAAGGGTAAGACACTGAGCCAAGATGTTAGCAAGGGGAAAAGGGAAGGAGGATGAAAAATCCAGTTAGTAAGAAATCAAATATGAGAAAGAAGGAAAATATACAAACTGCAGACATTTAGCAGGGGACAGCTAAAGGAAAAATACAGATTAATGGAGATGAAAAAGTGGAGGTTTCAGAAAGGGGGAAGGAGAGGTGAAGGAATTGGCCTGTGTCTCAGAAGCTGTTTCTGTAATTGGACATTTGCATAGAAATAAGGTCAAATAGAAAAAAAAAAACTTGCCTCCCAAAGTGAGATAAAAACTGATGAGTGCAAGACTTTAAGGAAAAATAAGAGCGGAGATGGGAATGGATACAAATAAGAAAGAATAATAGGAGCTGATAGACAGAGACAGCGAGATGAGGAACTCCCACATGGCAGTGTCTGTTTTTCCACTTCCCATGGACACCCAGGGAAAGATAGAAAGACGAGACAGCTGGTCACCTTTTCTCCTCAATTTATCACTCTGTGGGGTATCTGATCTCAGGAAACCCCCTCTCATCATTTACACCTCACTTGGCCAAACATCACCCCACATCCAGTAGCTAATACACCTATTTTCACTTTATGACTGTTCATCAGGAAGGATGACTAATTTTATGTTGCAAGTTAAAATAAATTGCTGATTTTTTTTTTTTTTAAACTGCTTCTCAGCTTGGGTTTTCCTTGTTGATTACAGTGAGCTGTTGTGTTAAATCTCTCCGGAACTGAAGGCTGTACTGGCAGCTTGATAGTGAGCCAGAGGGAAGATATATTTTCTTGTCTGGCTTTCAGAAAGTCGGTGTAGGCATTGGACTGTGTCTCTGTCAGATACATTGTATCTGTTTTACATTTATGCCAGTAAACCGGTCTGTGTATGTACTGTACTGTGTATTCTGCATATGCACTGTAGCCCCTCCCTTACAATTACACCAATGTCAGTGTTTAAAGCAACAGAAAACAATTATTTTTCTCATTGTGGCCAAAGATGAAATTGTGGGTCACATGACTCCCACATGCACAAAAATATCCATAGCAGAAAAAAAAAACGACTATAAAAAATTCTTTCTTCAAAGACTAATTACAAAAGAACAACAAATTAAATCATCAAGGCCCCAAACAGCCATAACAAGATATTATTTTCATATAATTCAAAGAGCCAGCTGTAGACCAGACTCAACCAGACACAACAGCACATGCACGTAATGGGCATGGAAGCAGTGACATAGCATTTAATGCATCTGTTATCTGCTGGTATGTATTTATTTGTGCTGTTTGGTTGAACATGTCAATGGCATGAATTTACTCTCACTGGAAAAAATTAGGTCTTCCATATTTGTGCCCTCTCCGGGCTGGGGTGTGACTTGCTCCCTCAAGTGGAGGAGTTTAAGTATCTCAGGGTCTTGTTCACAAGTGAAGTTAAAATGGAGTGACAGGTTGACAGATGGATTGGTGTGGCGTCCACAGTAATGCGGTCTCTGTACCAGTCCGTTGTGGTTAAAAAGGAGATGAGTCATAAGATGAAGCTCTCAATTTACCGGTCGATCTACGTTCCTACCCTCACCTATGGCCATGAACTATGGATCATGACTGAAAGAATGAGACTGCGTATACAAGCGGCAGAAATGAGTTTCCTCCAGAGAGTGGCGGGGCGCACCCTTAGGGATAGGGTGCAGAGCTCAGTCACCAACGAGGAGCTCGGAGTAGAGTCGCTTCTCCTCCACACTGAGCGGAACCAGCAGAGGTGGCACCTGTTTAGGATGCACTCTGGACACCTCCCTGGCGAGGTATTCCGGGCATGTCCCTCTGGGAGAAGGCCTCGGGGCAGACCCAGGATACATTGGAGAGACTATGTCTCCTGGCTGGCCTGGGAATGCCTTGGGGCTCCTCCTGAGGAGCTAGAGGAGGTGTGTAGGGAGAGGGACATCTGGGAGGCTCTGCTCGGACTACTGCCCCTGCGACCCGGTCTCGGATGAAGCGGATGAAGATGGATGGATGGATATTTGTTCCATTTCCGTTATTGCATTGTGGTAGTTTGACATTGCATTCTTTGTGTATATGAACTGTGTCTGATGACAGAGGTGACAGTGATAAGTGGGTGGGTGGTCTTCTGGCCACAGCTGCTGCAAAATTCTACTACTATAAGACTTTTCACCAGTATCATCCATCCATCCATCCATTTTCTAAACCGCTCAGTCCCAAATGGGGTCACGGGGGGCTGTAGCCAATCCCAGCCAGCTGCGGGCGAAAGGCAAGGTCCACCCTGGACAGGTCGCCAGCCCATCACAGGGCTAACACACAGACGAACAACCACTCACACACACACAAGCACTCCTACGGGCAATTTAGAGACACCAATCAACCTAAGCTGCATGTCTTTGGACTGTGGGAGGAAGCCAGAGCACCCGAAGAGAACCCACGCAATATAATAGTAGGGACTCTCTTGCAAAAGAGGTTGAAAACCTCAGTGGGTTGTATTTTCTTGGCAAAATAAAGGTTAAAACAGTTTATCATGGCCTCTGCTACTGAATTGGTGAGAACCTACAATCCTGTGTTAAAATAGGAAAAATAGAGCCATGTCTGAAAACACCTGAGTGCTAAATCAGTCACCCATAAATCACTGACTTTAAATAAGCTACTGCATCAAAATAATGTACTAAAAAATTAGTAAAAAGCCAATATCATAAAGGTGAGAATAATGAAGAGACAGAAGATGGAAGTACATTTCCTACCCAGGAGCACATGCACACACACAGAGCTGGTATTTTGGTGGCTTTATTTGACATGTCATCCATCTTCACAGTCAGCATTAATAGTCCTTCCTAACACTTGGTCCCAAAACAGCTTGAGGCATGCCTTCAAAGCAGGCACAAAAATGTCCCAAAGTCTCAATGCGTGATATTTTTCCAGCAACAAGAATGTGGAAATTTCACTAATAAGCTCACTAATGAGCTCCTTGATGTATCAGATTTTGTATGTATTGATAACATTTGACCCTTGGACAATGAGTGTTCTGCATGGTGACTACTTTAGGTGTACCGGTCATGAATGTTCTCTCTTCAGCTGTGGTGGAATTTCACTGTCACGTTAAAGTGGTCTGCCCATCTCTGACTGAAGTAGCATGTTCTTAAATGTTGTTTATTACTGAAAAGTATTTAAAGAATAATAAAATGTCAAGTTGTCAGTAGAGTGGAGCTGCAAGTTTGAAACAGGAAAATAACTTGAAATCTTTCACCTTTTTTCTTCTTTTTTTCCTACTGAGCCTTTAACATCACGTCAGAGCGTTACGAGTGCATGGCAAATGTCAAGAGAAAATAAAGCATAATGAATTGTGTGCAATTCAAAGAGTTTCCCTTTTGGAACGGCAGTCTCTTTGAAAGCACCCATCTTGTCTAATATTATTAATATGATATAGACACTAATCACATTTGTGATTGTCTGGTCTCGAACCTAACAGGATTACAGAGTCAACATCTTCCTGCGGCAGCGCTGGAATGACCCAAGGCTGAAGCTGCCTCAGGACTTCAAGTCTGATTCTCTCACTGTTGATCCCAAGATGTTCAAATGTCTCTGGAAGCCCGACCTGTTCTTTGCTAATGAGAAAAGTGCCAACTTTCATGATGTTACCCAGGAAAACATTCTCCTTTTCATCTTCCGTAATGGAGACGTCCTGATCAGTATGAGGTAATCAGTCTGAACTTTTTTCCACTTCCATTTGTTAAAATGTGATTGGCAAATTACAGGTAATATTGAATGTACATGCCACCCAAAGATAGCACTGATACTTTTTCCAGCTCTTTTTAAACTCCTTAAAATGTTAGTTTATATATGAAACAGCTCGATTAAAACCTCACTAAACAGTCTCCAACTGTTTAAGTAGTTTATATTTGTTTCTGCAAAATGTCCCACCATTTTGTGTCTGTTTTTAATTAAAAACGACCACAAAATACCTTTACCTGGCCTTTGTAATACAGAACATTATCAATAAACTTCTTTGATTGGTACAGAGATACACTTATGAGGAATGGTGAATAATGTATTAACTTTGACACTTACTTTTTATTGAAAAAGTGCCATTTTCTATATTTTATTCAAATTTTTTATCATTGAACTGACATTTTTTTGGGCATTCATTCCATTTGGAGCCACCAAAATTAGCATATTTCCAGGTCTTTGACTCGTAGCGCACATCTGAGATGTGTTTAGAAAATGAATAGGTCTGATACAGTGTATGAACAATAGGCTGAATGAATGGAGTGCAAAGTGTAATAAAATGAAAGTTCAGTGTCAGGCCGCATAAAGTACAGTTGGTCAGATTAAATACATGAGTAAACAAGACTAAACAAACAGTACCTATAATTTGAGCGATATTTGCATAGGGGAACACTAAAGTGGGCATGTAATGATTGTTGTGTTATTAATGCCCTGAAAAACTGCAGTGATAATTGTAGTACTGTGGCTTTGTTTCAGTAGGTAAGTGTAAGCTGTTTTGCATATTTTAATGGTTTTCTTGGTTTTTCTTCATTTTTTTTCTTTCAGGGTCAATAACTACTGTGGCTGCAGACTGCAAGAATGAAATCTTAAATGCTAATGAGACTGTCTGCATGCAGATCATTTTGTGAGAATTATTTTAGCTGTGGGCTCCATGTAAATTAGTTGGAGCTATACCAGTCATGTCCAAAAACAATCCTTGAAAATTGTCTGTAATTTTGAGTAGAACATACTGTATTTTGTTTATCTCCCGCAAATATACCATTAAAAGAGAGACATGGGGGTAAACCCCTTAAATCCTGTGACTTCTCAGGCAAACAAGACTCTTGTGTGAGTTTAAGTGGAGATAAAAGGAGAATGTTAAAGCATAGCATAAATGAAAATCAGTTTTTCCTTCATCCTTCCTCCAGATTGTCTATCACCCTCTTTTGTCCACTGGACCTGACATTGTTCCCTATGGACACACAGAGGTGTAAAATGCAACTTGAAAGCTGTAAGTCTTCCTGAAATAATATCACCTTCAGTTCATCAGTTGACACATCTGATAATTGCTATTTGGATGATACAGTATTTATGAGTTGGGAATGTTTTTGCCATTTTATTAAATAGAACTGTTTTGGGATAAATGCCACTTTTTCTCTTTTCAATGGTAAGCTATTATTGAAGTGAAAAAATCTGCATATTTTAAGTTTGTGAAAGTCTAACAGCGACAGTTACTGACTGACTTGACTGTGGTTATTACATCTTGTTAACAGAGCAGTTTGGCATCACAATTTTTTATAGGAATTTAGATTTTGGACCCAAATGCAAACACCGGGGTTTTATTCATAATTAAACGGAAGATTGGTATGACAGGCAAGCAAGAGTGTGACATAAAATATGATGTGAACAAGAAGAGGAGTGACCTCAGGCTTAATGCTAGATATACATGGGGAAATAAAAGCTTGGGCAAAGCTCTAAATTTAGGATGGAAGTGTCAAAACTCACAAAGCTCTCCTATAAGTAAACCATTATGTCTAGACAAAAATACAGGAACCATAAGCCAGAGCAAAAGGAAGATAAGTAAACTACTTTAGCAGGTGGCTTGCAATAAGTCCATGAAAATGAGGTAGCAATAACAAGATGCAAAGAAATACTAGAGTATATACAATGGAAAGCATTAAACAGAATGCTGACCAGAAGCTGTATGGGAGGAGTGTCCATGAGCACTTAACTACAGGCAAAACTCAATCAAGCAATGTGACGAATAATGTGACAACTTGCAAACAAGGCACATGAATGTTGACTGACATGCAGATGAGCTACGCTGGGCACTTCTCTGACAACTCTGGCAAACAGAGAATGTGGGCTGGAGACTAGATAAAGAATCTGATACTGTGCTTTGCAACAGGTGAGTGTAATGAAAGCAGCAACAGTGGGTAAACAAAAGTGGAAGTCCTTCAAAATAAAAGCATGAACAGGAAGTCCATGCAGTTGTGAAGAGCCCAGTTTTGACTTCAAGCCATTTCATTCTAATGCCAAACCCACCTGTTGAGACCTACTGCTTCCTACATGTCTGTCTGCATATACATTATATTTTATATTCAGTGTAAATTTCTTTGAGTGTGTTTGACAAGCATATGTGTGCAGCATGTTATGACCTTATAATGTCTACACAGGATATGCATTTGTATATGCTGCAATGCAGTTTCAACTATGTATACTGCATGTTAACTGTCTGTGTTCCTGCTTCTGTTCAGTTGGATACACTACAGACGACCTTCAGTTCATGTGGCAGGCAGGAGACCCAGTGCAAATGGAGGCCATTGCTCTGCCACAGTTTGACATAAGACAAGAAGATATTGATTATGGGAACTGCACCAAATACTATGCAGGAACAGGTATTATCCAGGTTAAAAATTTGTAAATTTCATCAAATAAAAAAAAAATTATTAGTATGCAAAGTAGAATTTTAATTATTCAAAAGACCTGTCATAGCAAGGCAGTAATTTAACTTCAGTGCTGTTTTTATGCTGTCCTTTCACCCCTTTATTTGTAGCAGATTTGGACTACAATTTATGATACATTTTAATACCTCATAATAAGGGCACCAGGCTCATGAAGCAAGACATGCTAATGATGAATTTATTTATCTGAAGTATGATTATTTATTGATATGATTTATTAATCTGAACTATTAATCCAGTCTTGGTCTGAATCCTCAGTTCAGTGACTTATTTACTGGGAATAAGAGACAAAAAGATGACATGAGAAAGTCTGCTCTAATCTAAATGAATTTATTTACATATGTACAAGAAAAGAAAAGTGAATCAAGATTGTTAAATGGGATAGATGGTGCATATGAACAAAAAGGTGTCTAATGGACCAGTGGATGAATGACTGGGTAGAATATTGCCTAGCAGTGGTGGAGAATGAGTCAAAATTGTCTAATATCACATTAAAGTTTGGATCTAAAGTCCAAATGAATTATTGTTTCTGAGTTAAAACTGTTTGTTCTGGGTAGCTGGAAGCTATAGTGTCCTTGTCATACTGAGAAAGTGCATTCATGCCTCTGCTATGTCCCCTTGAGGAGTCACTGGACACAATAGCAGCTAATTACATCATTGTGATTCTGATTCAGGATTTACTGTATATCATTTACTAGTTGGACATTTTATTTGAGGTGTATAGTGCTGAATTGTTTATTTTTCCTGGCGGCAGCAGCCATTATACAAGACCAATATACAAGGTTCCCTGCCAAAGAAATCAGGTGAGGATGATGGGTCTTTTTGTTGAAGTAAGATTAGCCTGGTGCCACTGATTGAAAGATGAAATCAGAGCAGATCAGATCCTGGACTTGCAGGCTTCAATAGCATGTTCTTATCTGACCAGGCCTAAGGTATATGACTTCTTACCTATCTCTGGTGAAGGTAGAAAGATAATTCCATCTCAGTCATCCTGCCTTTATTCTTCAAGGAAATTACATTTTGACTTAGTAACCTACAGTATTGTAAAGATGGACGGTAGAGACGCACGCTCTTTTGATCATAGAGCAGAGATGTTTATGTGCTGTTGTGTCATCATTTAGACAAATAAAACATGTAACATTAGTCCAGAGACCAGCAATATTGAAACTTGCCAGTCATGTCTAAAATATCACTTTCTATAGCTGCCCAGGTGAACTGAAAATTGCTAGAACAAGAAGTATAGACTGTTACTGTGGTAGACATCTTAATTTGTCATAGCAAGAAAAGCACAGGTGTAACTGATACTGTTAATTACTGTATGTTTCTATTCCAATCAGGTGTGCCAGTGATCCAGCAGGCACAACCGCAACTCTGGTTATAGTACAACAAAATGAGAAGCAGTAATTGATAAAAATATTGGTTACACTTGTATTTCTATTACTTTCCTCATAAGACATGTTCAAAGCAGTATTTTAATTAAGTTGTGCATTTCTTATATCTGGGTTTACTTTATCAGATTTCTTCCTCCTGCTTATGTCAGTGTGTTACCCTGTCTTGGTGTGTTATTGCCACCACCTACCAGTCAGTGGAATAGCATGAAAACTAGAGCAGAATGTGAATCCCGTTGTGCACATGCTGAGAATCTTTATGTGTGTGTATATCAGAAACAAAACTGTGACTTTCCGGTAAAACACAGCTCCAAAGTACTTCACGTTTTCAAAAACTCCACATGGTATATCTTTTAGTCTGATCATTCACTCTGAAGTCAAATGTACTGTCAAGTCCTACCGTTTAGTTACGTCAAGCATGTTATGTTCTGATTGTCAGAACGCACATATTACTCTTTGCATGGAAAATCTAATTTCCTTTGTAAAGGTTTACAGATTTTTGCATGGCTTCATAGCAAACTGCAGGATCTTGGGTGGAGGCAGCCAGGATAGATTGTAGCATAGACAGACTAATGAACAGCAAGACCATTTTCCCAGGATACTGGCAGGGCTAAAAATACTGAATAATTCTGCAATGAAATAAAAGAAAAACCCTCAAATAAGGCATTGGTACTGTGCCATACACATATGGAGACCACTGTGAGTGCAAAATGACATTCTCAATAAAATGGAAAATCTCTATTTGACCTCTCATATTCGGGAGGCACATTGCTCGCAATGAGTCAGTCTTTTAGTGGGTTGCCAAGGCAACCTGGCTAGACACAAAGATCCCCTCTGTGTGTGACTGGTTCGAGCCTGCTCTGCGACACAGTCAGCCCTTAGATGATCCCCAGGCTAGTTAAACATTACTTCAGCCCCTCCAGTCTACAATCCTTTTCGATCTAATGACCAGCCTCAAAGAGCAGAAACACAACATAGCCATAGGAGGTCTGGAGTGTAGGGATAGTGTAAGCTCAGCTAATGAAAACCAGCAGAGATGGATTTATTAAAGTGATCGTTTATTAATGAAAGTTTATGCAGTATTATTAAGAATAATGTGCTTCTGGAAACAGAAACATGTTCCTGGCAGAGGACACATCTAGGTCTCCTACTTGGCACATTATCAATTGGAAGCAGGCTTTTTGGGAGGCGATGCTGAGTGTTCAAACAGGTCTAATGACAGTAGTTGAAATTATGTTAAACTCCTTTTGCCAACTGACCTTTTTCTTCCTCTTGATATTGGCTTTCTCTGTTACTAATGATGTGAACAGCTGTGCTGTGCTTTGTGCTTGGCAAAAGTAGGCAAGATTGTACTGGTGGGTTTAATAGACTGTTTCTCTCACTTAAGTTTCAATTCAAGGGCTGGATACTCCACATTTCTAGGGCAAATAAAAAATTATAATGTCCCAACATATTTAAATTGCCAAACATGGTCTGATGCTGCATTCAAGTTATATTATTCAGAGCGTAATTACAAGCGTATGGTTGTCAGTTTTCCTATTCTTTCCATTCTGCTAACATTGCATGAATCATTTTAGTGTCCTTGAGTCTCATCCTGACAGAATGTTCAGCTTCAGCCTGCCCTTCAGTTTTTACAGAGCCCCTGAACTGCAAAACAATTACCTCGCATGTGATGAACTGCATTTCAGAGCAAAATTGTGTTTCTCCCTAAATCTAATTATATTTGACCAATGTCGCATTCCTCATGCAGGTTACTACACTTGTGTGGAGGTCATCTTCACCCTAAGACGGCAGGTTGGTTTCTACATGATGGGTGTTTACGCCCCCACTCTGCTCATCGTCGTCCTCTCCTGGCTGTCTTTCTGGATCAATCCTGATGCGAGTGCTGCCAGGGTCCCTTTGGGTATGGATTATTTTAAGTGTGTTGATCAGTGCCATATCTGTTACTGACCTTTATCTTTAAATACTGTATTTGTTGTGCTGTTTAACCAGTGTTGAGCACATGGTTGGACATTAGATCAAAATAAAGGGTATATGAAAGTGTACAGTATGTATTAATGAGATAATTAGGTAATTATAAAATTCCATCAGAAAAACATAGTGGTTGATCAAATAAAATCTCTCTGAAGGATTTGTATGTTTTAGGGTTCTGACATTTTTCCCCCCAGTCATCTCCATCATCAATCACTTTGACACCTTGAAGAACTTTACTGATCAAGCATGATGCCATGTCCAGTGCTTATTTGTATGTGATAAATCACTGAATATAAATATAACTGACAGATGGGATCCACTGCACTGGTGCTTTAGGGCCACAGATATCTTTCTTATGGTGGGACTAAAATATAAGTTCTTATTTCTATTGCCTAAAAGCTGAAATATTACCCCATTTAATTCACCTTCCTGTAGCCTGTTTAGCTGTGAGCTCTCACATTAGCCACATTTTAAAGGATCTTTATTAAATCTGGACTAGTCACTGGAGCTAACATTTAAAATATACAAATACAAGACTCAACTGATTATAGGGACCACGTACAGACTTTTGGGTTTCTGGTAAATAATCATGTTAGTTGGTGTGGGCAGCAAGAGTTGTTCAGGAGACAGACAGAGCCAACAGACACTCAGCTGGTCAACGAGGCACACCTGATCCCTGTTAACTCAATTAACAAAGGGATGTGCTGAGCCATGAGGAGTAGTGCTGTTTTAACCAAACCAGACAAGTGCACAGTGTCTCCAGCCTTAGGAAAGTCTAGTAGATTACTAGACTGTTAGCCTGAGCCCCTGAGGTGAATACAAGAATGCTCTATTGCCCTACTGAATTTTAAATTTTTTGTTTTTGTTCATGCATTGCGTAGAGTACAACGCAAGAACCAAATGAGCATATAGGGTCCCTCTTATTTATAGTCTTAGTTCCACCTAGCCCTGCTTCGTGGAAAATGGACTGAAACTACCAATCTGGGTTCATATAGTGTGCTTGTTTGCCACAGTGGAAGACTGGCTGATAAAAACCTTGTGTATATATATTTCGTCACATCTCAAATGTTAAGCAGTTTCTTAGTGGGGCCAACAACAACAACAAAGTAATGGATGTCCTAAAACAATTATTTGTACAATGCATGCATTTTAAATATATGCTACATTCATGCACTTGTGTAAAAATAACTAAAGTAATATTGTTTATAAAATGTACCCAGGAAGGCTACATTTTATGGAAATGACAATTAGTATGTGTGTTAATATATTTGTTTATGCTTGATACATATTTATATTTTTCTCATACAAACAGATTAACACTGCACATGGTGGGACTGACATGCGATAATTCTAATTCGACCAAAGCTTGTGTTTACTGGAAAGAAGTCCATTCCACTTCCTGCTTTTTTGTTCTCCATAATGCAAGCTGTGTGTAATATGTCATTATCACCCACATACAGTATCACATGGGCACATGTGTGTGCAGGGCTGCATGGATAAGATAATCCATTGCTGTCTTTCTCCAGTTGTCTATTGCCTGCTTTTCTCCATCTTCCCTCCAGTTGTTTATCACCACTTTCATCCCATCTTCACTTCAACTCCTCCTGGAAGCCTTGTATGACTTCTCTCTAAATGGGATCAGTTCAGGTCAGTCAGCAACAAGGTGTGGGACTACTCTCATTTATTGCTCTGTGCTGTGTCTGCATGTGACTCTTAGCATTTATGTGTGTCTAGTGTACCCTTTGCTTCTATGCGTCCATGCGTGTTTTTAACTGTGAATGTTTTGAGCATTTTACAAAGATTTACAGTCTTTTCTTACCACATAAGAATGTAAGCAAACACAACAGTAAATTGGTTTACCATTGCACTACATGCATTTGAGTATGTGTCATAGAGGAACAGAGCAAACAAAGCTGTTTTAGTATTTCCTCCTTACAGTGCTTTCATTTTAAGTTTATTTAAATCCAGTGAAGAGGAGCAGTTTGACAAAAAAAAAAAACTCCTGCACAAACTCTGCCTAGCTGAGTGACTATTATGAGGCCTGGAGGCAAAATCCATTGGTCATTCTAATATGTTTACTGTAACTCTGAAGTTGCATTAAAGTAAGAAATAGGAGAGTAAAGCCCTTCATTTGTGGTTAGAATGCTTTCTTAATTATTTCTGCTGCAGCCTGAAACATATGCTGCTGTGCAGGGGGAATCTCTGAAATGTAAATCTGTTGGCTATCATTGATAAAAACTTTTTAAAATTATGCAGTAGTCGGAGGCGGTTTGAGCTCTTGGAGATGTCCTTATAAAAGAGGTAAAGGATTGGTCATGAATCCAACTAGCAGTGATGTTCTGTGTGGATGTGAGTGTTTTATTACAGCTTTTGAGATTGAGGGATTTATCTGTTCAATATTCTGTGCAGTTGATGGATTGCATGCCTTTCCTCAGTGGAAGCAAACATAAAGGTTCTACAAGAAGTAATGTTCTATGTTGAAAATCATAGGTACACATTCTACAGCTACACATTCTGTTGCACCACCACAACAAAAACTATGTGAAAGTTTGTGAGAGTTGCCGTCTTCTGTTTACTTTCATCATAATCTTTGCCAGTTTTAGACAATTTTATTTAGGGAAGGTTCTTGTATGGCGGTTTTGAAAAACACACGAGATCATAAAATTTTAGAAAAGGAAAACACATAGAGCCGTATCATAGCGATTATAGCATAAAAATTGATGCTGGAATTGCTCAATACATGATGGATGTAATTACAGAAGGAGCATAAGAGAGAATAATTAACCTTAACCCTAGCCCTTACATCCAACTTCTTCTCAGTTAGCTGACTCCCAAGGTTACTTGTCTCCCGTCTCTCTGTAGGAATCCTCTCGGTGCTCTCTTTGTCCTCTGAGTGCACCTCCTTGGCTTCAGAGCTGCCCAAGGTGTCCTATGTTAAGGCCATCGACATCTGGCTCATCGCTTGCCTGCTGTTTGGTTTCGCCTCACTGGTGGAGTACGCTGTGGTTCAGGTCATGCTCAACAGCCCGAAGCGCATTGAGGCAGAAAAGGCCAGGATAGCATCCAAGGAGAAGGCTACAGGAAGGAGCCCTGCTGCCAGGAACAACACGGTCAACGGGACCGGAGGGACCCCTCTTCACGTCAGCACCTTGCATGTCAGTGGATCTGGTTTGATAACTTAAGTGTGTTTGTGTGTGTACAGTATGTGTGCCATTTTTGGATTAAAAGAGTTAGTGTATATCTTTACTGACACTTTGAAGCTTGGAAAAATGACATTCGTCATTATCACATTGACATTATCAAGTCATATACAAATGTGATCGAGTTTCTGATTTTCACAAATCTTGCCTAATGGTCTTACTTGTAATTCTCACTTGACTCAAATTAAGTAGCATTTTTCCCAGTGGGGCCAATGAGTCTTGTGTATATTATTTGAACAGGCTGTGTAATTTGTAATCATCATTTCTGTAATCAAAGTATAAATAATGTCCCTATAGGTATGGATGCTGTAGTTAATCACCAAAACATTTCATTTTTGTTGCTTTCAGTGAGTGTATAGTGTGTGTTTGTTTGTCTGTGTTTATGTATACGTTTCTCTGTGACAGCACACCTGCAGTAACACACAGTACAATTGTAAAATGCTGCATATTCCTAATCCAGTATCCTCAGGCAGGACTGTCACAGTGAGGCAGATCTAATCTAAATGCAAAATTGAGAAATCCAATCATTAGAAGCTGACATTGCCACTCATACACACACACACACACACACACACATACAGTAAGTCACTATGCAACTCTGACAGTCACATGCACATCAGGCACACAGTATGTTGTAGGGGTCTTCCAATTGTATGCCTAAATGAAATTAATTTTCTTCTGAGACTCTGTTGGTCTGGACCACATTTGGTTTGAGAAGATTGCTTAATTCCATTGAGATTTAATGGGTTTTCTTGTCTTGTCAAAACCAAATCAAAATAATGAAACTTTAATGAGCTTAATGACTTCAGTGAGTAAGAATCCATACTCTGATTAGATCCTGTTTGCCCTCAGGCCTTCAGAGAACTTGATGAAAGGGATTTTTTTGGATGACATAAACTATATCCTTTGCAGAATGTTTTTTATAAGCACTGGTTGTTTGCAGAGATAGCATGTGGAGGGCGTACAGGGGTTAGAAGACCACAGATGAGCGAGGGGAACCATAATAGGCAACATTTGAGAGCACAAAGTAAATCTAATTTTGGCTTCAAAGAGCTTTCTTTTTTTCTCTTAAAAACATTAGCTATGATTTATCCGCATGAAATCTGTCCAGGCTTCAGCATCAAATAGCTCCTTTACTAGGTTTTCAAAGTGTAGCCTGTTCTCCCTGAGAGCCTCATTTAAACGTCCCTCTCAGTTAGGATTAAACCTACCTGCAGTGTGGATGTGAAGTCACAGCCACCGTACACTCACACGCAGTTTGTGTCAGGCAGTGTGGAGCATTCAGTTGCCTTTTGCCAAAGCATGACTACAGAGACATAGTTCTTCATAAAGGTGATCTGTATAGTTCAACAGAGAGGGAATATGGCAAATTCTCAAACTCCTACTCATTTGACACAGTCTGAAAAACTGATTAATAGTAAATAAATAGAAAGGTCATCAGACATGGCTACGGTTAAAAAATACGGTCAGCACTGGCTATCCGTGTCATATACAGTGCAAACACAGTAGATGGATACACACAGAGAGCAGGCAAAAGTAAACAGCTATGCATGAGTTGCAGCTATTAACGCTAACGTGTTCTATTCTGAGACGCAGGACGGCGTCAGTCTTATCAAAGGAACAATAGCTGATATAAAGATGGTGAATTCAGGTCTTGTATCTAAAATGACTGAATGACATTTCTTTTGTGTGTGATATGTACTGTATGCAGGTACAAAGAATTAGCTTTGGTGTGTCACACCTCTTTCCATTGTTTAAAATTGGCATCTGCCAACTTTATTTCACTGAATTCGTTCTTAGTGTAGTCACAGAGATGAATTCTAACTGGAATACCAGTTACATGAAAGTTAAATGACTATTTAGTGACTGTTGTTGTTAAAAATATAACGTGGAATGATTTTTGTAGTGCCTGTAGTAAGCGCAGCCCATCTTAGACTAGTAGTGTTTGTCTGTTGCTCAGTTTTAAATCATTTTGGTCCAGTTACATTGCCTCAGGGGCTGCCAGAGGTGCTTTCCGACTATTAGTGTAAGTTTATCCTAGCTCATATGTTTCTCAATGGTAAATGTATTTTGGAATGAAATGATGCAGAATTTAATAATCAGTTCTGTTTGAATGTGTTTCTCTTGCCCCCAGGTGGCAGAGACTCGCTGCAAGAAGGTGTGCACCTCTAAATCAGACCTGCGGACCAATGACTTCAGCATAGTGGGCTCTCTCCCGCGAGACTTTGAGCTATCAAATTTTGACTGCTATGGGAAGCCCATTGATACTGGCGCTGGTCTCGGCAAATCCCTGGCCAAGAACAACAAAAAGCCTCCTCCTCCGAAACCCGTCATCCCATCTGCTGCCAAAAGAATTGATCTGTACTCCCGAGCCCTCTTCCCTTTCTCCTTCCTCTTCTTTAACGTGATTTACTGGTCCATATACTTGTGATTACCTTGAAATTATCTTGAATTATGAACCCCCCACTTCAGTCCCATGAGTCCTCTGTTGATCAGATTACACTGAGAAAGTTGGATTCCAGAATGAACAGTCCATACAGAATGATGGCTGAGAAGAAATGAAAATTATTGATTACTGCTATTCTATTTGTCCTTACATTCATCATTTGTGTATTAAACTATGATTATAACTTCATCTATCTTTGCCTAAAATGGATATATAGCATCTTGTATTGAAACAATCTATTAATCATGGTACTTGAGAGGTGAATGCAGGATTGCAGATATAACTGTTGTGATGAATGGTGTGTAAACAAATCTGTAAAGATTGTCTAACAGCTGAGCAGAAGATGCACAGATCTATAAAAGAACATTTGTAAATAGCTATATGATTTTTTTCCCTTGCAAAGTGGGAGTCTTCCAGCAAGTTCAATAAGTTAAAGCATTTTATTTAAGCTTTGATGCAAATTATAATTACATTGCATGTAAAAAGGC